ACCACCCAAAGCCTGTCTCATCTTCTGTCTGAATTCCTCATGACATTAAATTAATGCAGTTAAAGATGCTATAATCCTTTTAAACTTACATACACTCTTATATGTAACTCTATGCTCCTCCCTCTTCTGGAAATAGGTGTTAACTACAGCCATTTCCATCCTCTTAGCAAAGTCCACCACCATCTGTTCTTCTAGGTTCCTTCCACTAACACCAAACCGTCCCATCACCTCCTCATCACCTTTGTTCCCCTCACCAACGTGCCCGTTGAAGTCTGCCCCAATCACCACTCTCTCCCCTCTGGGAATACTCTCCATCACCTCATCTAACTCACTCCAGAATCTCTCCTTCTCTTCTAACTCACACCCTACTTGTGGAGCATAACCACTGACTACATTCAACATTACCCCTTCAATTTCCAACTTCAGACTGATCACCCTGTCTGACACTCTTTTCACCTCTAAAACATTCCTCACGAGCTCCTCCTTCAGGATCACTCCTACCCCATTTCTCTTCCTGTCCACACCATAATAAAACAGTTTGTATCCCCCTCCAATGCTACGCGCTTTGCTACCCTTCCACCTGGTCTCCTGCACACACAGTATATCTACCTTCCTTCTCTCCATCATGTCCGCCAACTCTCTTCCTTTCCCTGTCATTGTGCCAATGTTAAGAGTCCCTATTCTCAGACCTATACTCCTGCCTTTCCTCTTTCCTGCCTTTCCTCCTTCTTCAACCAACAGTAGTCCAATTTCCACCAGTACCCTGTAGTTCAACAGCACTGGTGATGGTCGTTATTAACCCGGGCCTCGACCGATCCGGTATGGAATTCACACTGATGATTCGCATGTTTAAACTTGGCATGTTTTTACGCCGGATGCCCTTCCTGACGCAACCCTCTCTACTTATCCGGGCTTGGGACCGGCACAGAAGTCACTGGCTTGCAACCCCTGTGGCTAAATTACCTACCCTGAATAAATAAAAGTTTAAAACATTGATGAAGAAGCATATCATGTAGAGGTGTACCGATAACACAAAGTGTTTATTTGTCATATGCACAGTTAGGAAACGTGTTTCCCTGTACAATAAAATTCTTACTTTGCCATCCACATGAATGCCACAAAAATACAAATGAAATATAAAGTAGATAAATAAGTAACAAAAAAATCTAAGGCAATTTAAGCAGCAAATGCAGCAATAAAATAAAAATATATAAGAATATAACAGAGAATGTATGCTGCATGGGAGCAGCATGCGCAGCAGTCAACAGTCAATGTGCAATTATGCATGTTCAAACTGTGAATGTAAACAGTACATCACGTATTTCCTGGTAATAAACTCCTTAGCTGTTTAGGAGTCTGATGGCAGAGGGAAAGAAAGAGTTTTTCAGTCTAGTGGTCCTGCATTTCACACTTCTGAACCTCCGGCCAGAGGGTAGGGAGGCGAACAGTCCATGCTGGGTGTGGGTGGGATCTTTGGGAGTCCACATGTGCCATAACCTCTCCCTTAACGTCAGCAAGACCAAGCAGATGGTTACTGACAGCTCCTCCCCTCAGGTCGTTAGAGCCATGAACACACTGTGCTGCCACATCAGGCCCCATCATGAGCACATAACCCTGTTCTCATACCACACCTGGAAAAAATTCTATGTGCTATTCCATGTTTCATCTCTGCTGTGCTGGTTTTGCACTTTAACCCCAGAATGGGATCACTGTGTATACAGTATATGTTCTTATATTTACATTTTTCCCTTGTACATATTGTTCCTGTTTATATATTTATAGCTTTTTCTCTCTTCACTGTAATGTTTTTCTTACTTTATACTCTAGTTTTTTAGCATGTGCACTGCTGGGCTTGGGGGATGGCATTTCATTCTGAACAATACAATGCACGGATCTTGACTGTTATCAAATGCAACAGCAATACTGTTTATCACTGAAGACTTTTTAAAGTATCCTACAGTAGGAACTTAAAATGTTTTCATAGTTTTTCAGCTTTCTAGAATTCAGTTACCAATATCTTTAATGACAAATGGGAATAAAGTTCTCCTTTGTGTCTCACCAGTCCGTTGGGCATGGTCTGCTGGTTCTGGTTTAGATACATGAAGTGTTGGTTGTATCCTGTTGTCGTGTAAACTCGCAGTCTGGGGAACACAGTGAACAGGAAGCATCTGGAATCACCTGCACAGACACACAGATATACAAATTATGAAGGTCTGAGCAAAAAGTCAAGTCCACAGTATTCAAATAAGTAGTGTTACTTCCTCAATGTGTCCTTGTGCGAGTGCTACTCTTGTACATGGTAGTACAGTTCCTACTACTGCATTATGGAATTAGAAGTAGAAATTTACTGTTATTTATCAGACTTGATGCACTTCACTAATGTCGACTGTATAGAGATCGGAGATCGGTCACACAATGGGAGAATCACAGAGATGTTGGAAATCTGGAACTTTTGTCATGTTAACAGAGTAAACACAGGAAATGTTCCACTGTAGTATTAGCATGTATGAATTGAAATATATTCCAGTTTAGTCTTTAGCTTTTATGACCTCTGGTTCACTAAACTGCTGCATGATAATGACTTAGTTTTCCTGAACTGCTAAAGCACTAAACCCCATTGTTGGAACAATACTGTCAACAGTCAAAACTCATTAATCAAATGTCTGACTCTTACATCCACCTGGTTAGTTTCTGCAAAGCACATTCTCACTCAATAAAACAGCTTGCACTGTGATGCTCCTGTGATGCATCATGGTAACCACAGTTGGCAGAAGTTAAACATGGGTACAGCACAGCTGTCCCAGCCTACACATTATGACACATAACTGCTACAACTACATCCTGACTGGTGCATCAGCAGGCTGACTTTATCGACCAGTTTAAGCCAACTGCAGGTCAATCACTATCAGTGTTTATTCATCCATCCATCTATTTTCTTCCACATATCCAGGGTCGGGTCACGGTGGCAGCAGTTTCAGCGGGGCAGTCCAGACGTCCCTCTCCCTGGTGAAGTGTTCCGGCTCCTATGACAGGATTCCGAGGCATTTTCAGGCCAGATGAGATGTAAAATCTCTCCAGGGTGTTATGGGTCTGCCCTGGGGTCTCCTACCAGATGGGCGTGCCTGGAAGACCTCCACCGGGAGGACCCCTTGAGGCGCCCTGATAAGATGCCCCAACTGGCTCCTTTCAATGTGAAGGAGCAGCGGTTCTACTCCGAGTCCCTCCCAGATGTCTGCAACTCTGCACCCTGTCTCTAAGGCTAAGTCCAGCTACCCTACGAAGGAAACTCATTTTGGCTCTTGTATTTGCAATCTTATTCTTTCAGTCACTACCCACCGCTTGTGACCATAGATGAGGGTTGGAGAGTAGGCTCACTGGTAAACTGAAAGCTTTGCCTTTCGGGTCAGCCCCTTCTCCACCACGACAGTCTGGTAAAACTTCCACATTACTGCCGACGCAATAAACAACAAGTAGCTCAGCTCAGCTGACGGCAGCAGAGCAGAAAGGTTCAGGGTTTGAGGAGCTGCGTCTGCATAGTAAAGTGTTCCTTCCGATGTGTCCTTCCATTACTTAAATGATAATATACCATGACTCCTCATTTCTTCTTTTGTAGAAACTAAATAAGTCACAACTCAAGTAAAGGCCAAAAATATCAGCATTTCTGTCAGATAACTCACCACTTCTCCCAGAAAATTGTTGCAATCACAAATTCTTTGCTATTCTCATGTTCATTTCTTTTGTTTACATTGGAACAACACAAAAAGCCAAATCTGATTTATTCCACACAGAACTCCAAAAATGGACTGGACAGAATTACTGATACTGCCAACTTAATATTTGGTAGCCCACCCTTTGGACAAAATAACTGAAATCTGTCCCTTCATGTAACCATCAGTGAGTTTCTTCCACCTCTCTGGAATTTTGGACCACTCTTCTTTTGCCAAATGCTTATTAGATTTGGACCTGGACTCATTGCTGGCCACTTCAGAACTCTCCAGCTCATTGTCTAAAACCATTTCTGGTGCTTTATGAAGTCTTCTTTGGGTCATTGTCCTGCTGTGAGACCCATGACCTCTGAGGGAGACCCAACTTTCCGACACTGGGCCCTACACTGTGCCACAGAATTTATTGGTAGTATTCAGATTTCCTAATGCCACATACAGTCAGGACATCCAGTGGCTGAAGCAGCAAAGCAGCCCCAAAACATCAGTGAACCTCCACCGTGTTTGACTGTAGGGACGTGTTCTTTTCTTTGAAGGCCTCATTTCATTTTCTGAAAACAGTAGAATGATGTGCTCAACCAAAAAGCTGTATTTTAGTCTCATCTGTCCACAGGACATTCTCCCAGAAGGACTGTGGCTTCCTCAGGTAAATTTAGGCTTTTTTATGTCTCTGTCAGCAGTGGGTCCCCTGGGTCTCCTACCATAGTGACCCTTGTCATTCAGGTGGTGACAGACAGTGCAAGCTAAGACTGTTGCACCCTGTGTCTGCAGGTCAGTTTGGATTTGTTTGGAAGTTGATCGAGATTCTTTATCCACCACTGGAACAATCCTTCATTACAATCTGTCACCTAGTTTCCTTTTTTGTCCATATCCAGTGAGATCAGCTACAGCACTATGGGCTGTAAACTTCTTGACAGTGTTGTGCACAGTGGACACAGGAACAGCCAGATCTCTGGAGATGGACTTGGAGCCTTGAGACTGTCCAGGCTTTTCCACTATTGTGGTTCTCACATCCTCAGTCAATTCTTTTTCAGTGTGGTCCAAGCAACACAAAGGATGAGTCAACATTTCTCCATTTTAAATAGTTGCAAGTGTGATTTCTATATTGCCAGAACCTGTTGGTTGCTACAGGTGAGTTTCATTACAAATTAAAGGAGCATCACATGCTGCAGATACAATGATTTCTGATGATTTTATAAAGGTGTCAATAATTCTGTCCAGTCCATGTTTGGAGTTCTGTGTGGGATGGATCAGATGTGGCTTTTTCTCTGCGTTTGGTGTTGTTGCAATGCAAACAAAAGAAACAAACATGAGAACACCAAAACATCTGTGACTGCAACAAATTTCTGAGAGTAGTGGTGTGTTATCTGACAGAAAAGGAGGGGTGGCAATATGTTTGGCCATGACTATAAATGGTGTGGGCTTGTTGACAAACCTGATTCTACGTTTATTTGAGACACACTAATCCAATTCTAGTGACGTAGGTAACCAAAAGCCCTATTATTTTCTGCCTCATCAGTATAGCACTGGCCACAAAGGAAGGTAATGGCACGGCCTATCAGTGAAGGATAGCTAATGAATGAGCCATGTAGATGTATATGATGCCTAAATGATGAAACAGTAAATACATCTGTGACCCGCATGTCGGTACAGTCGGTGCACTGGGAACACCAAAGGTGATATACTAGTTAAAAGTTGAAAGCCGAAACACAGAGCCTTTTCAAAGTTAAGGCTAACCACATTATTTCTGACCATCACTTTTGAAGACAGCAGGCTAGAACTGGTTATATTATAAGAATGATTAGACCAGAAGAAAGTAAATGACAGTGAAAGCTGATTCAGACACTCCCCATACTCCCTCAATTGCCACATGTAAGGGATCCTTATCAAAACTTTTTCCTGTAAAAAAATTCATATCAGCCCATATATTATTATTGAATCTTTTAAACCCACAAATATCGACACTGGCATTGGCCTCTAATACAAACTGTGTAGCATCTGCTAACATAAAACTGCAGCCACCTAGGCTAATGGCACTGTCCACTGTAGAACTGAGGAAGACAGGCATCAACTAGACAGCAATGTAGCCCTAAGGTGTGTAAGTTATGAACATGCAAGTGCTGTGGGATCATACGTAGCTGGTCCCTTATCTCACCCTGGTACTGAGGTTTGACCTCCCAGGTGTGGGAGGCTAAGCCGCCAAAAACATGACTCTTTGTGTCTCTGATGAGCAGCAGGGTGGGCCCACGCTTCGTCAGGCCGGCCACCATCCTGGTGAAGCTCTCCCCATGCAGCTGTGTGGAAAACACAAGTCTCCAGGGGGCGCTGTAGCTGTCTGGCAACTGGAAAAGTTATGAGAGTTGGGAGTCAGAAGTTTAGGCTGAAGTCAGGGTATGTGTCAGGTTATGCTGTATTGTTTTCAACATAATACAGGACACAGATGAGTCACAAATTGGTATTTTCACTGTGTACCAGTGCTGAAGGCAACAAAGCCTGGATCAACTAGCCTTTACAGAAATGATCTGAACTCAGTTTCTTCTAAGAGTACTCAACTCCCAAGGGATGTGAACTGCAAAAAATGTACAGTAAGAACACATGCCGGAAACAGGCATGAATCTTTGTTTGAGTGTTTTAAATCTATCAATTCCAGATTTAACTAAAAGAAATGGGAAAAGTGTGAGGTCTGTGTTTTTGCCCGGAAGCTGCAAAGTAACAGTTACAGTGAATTAGGAAAACTACTACTACTGTCAAAACTACTGTATGAATAACAGTAAATCTTGTTTACCATCTCATCATAATGGTGTGAGGTGGAAACACTGATAATTGATGTGACTATGTGTGAACAAAAGGTTTACCATTAGTGACTTCACTAGCACAGCAGGTGCATCTGTTCACATTACTGCTGAACTTCTAAAATATAATAGAAATACATCTTCCTCTTCTTGCCACCAGTTCCTGTTATAGAAATAAAAACTGGCCATGTTAATAGTAGTAATACTGGAACTACAACCTACTGTGTCCTGTTCAAGAGGTTCTGAGAGACAGGTTCAAAAATAATGTTGAATTTGGCTCAGCTTGAGACAAAGAAGTGGCTGATGCTATGCCATGTTGTTTTGGTGGCATGTGCGGTATGTAACCGTTGGTTATTGGTATGGCCCCGCTATACCAGCCATCTCTCTGCAGCACAATGAGGAACGACCAGACTACTACTGGAACTGAAAGAATCATCCCGATCACCCCCATAAATGGTGGATACAGAGGTGTAACGAATCTGACAGCAGATGGACAACCTGTGCAATGCCTTCACACATCAGAGACATAGGATTGTCTCTCCAGACGCGTTTAATACCTCAGAACCCCATTCTATTGTTCACCCAGCAGCAAAACACACAAAACCTCTGGCCTGACGATAAACCTGATTCACAACTGACAGGATGTGGAGACACTTTGGCAACTTAAGAGCTGCTGCTGCCTGCGAACTGATCTACTCACAGCTAATCAAACCACTTCGAGCTCTGAACCTCAACGGCCCTGTCAAGACAGTCCCAAAGCATCAACGAGGACTCTTCGGGGTGATCATCTGAAGAGACTCTGGAACGCAGGCTGAGCTGAACCAACTGAACCTCCCGGGCCCAGTTCATCCTCAGTTGTGGTCTGACTGACTCCAAACAGGCAAGACCGGTCCTCTCTTATAAACCAAGCTGGTGTCATTTAGCTCAGGCAAGAGTCCTGTTATGAAATTTTCATAATCCTTCCCTTTTTATATAAGTTTATCCTCCCTGCTGTCGCCAAGTGCTGCTTAAGGGGCATTTGTTGGGTTTTCCTTTATAATAATAATAATAACTAGAGTGTAAATGCATTTCCTGTCGAAAATGCGTGTGGATGCTGTGATACTGAAGGATCGCCCTGAAAATGCCTGAAATCAATTGCTGAAACAGCTGAAGGATGAGTAGAAATTGCTGAATTTCTTTGTTAAAATAGTTGAGAAGAAATGGCTGAAGTTCTTTGTTGAATAATCTGAAGGATGAGATGCAATAAATACAAGCATTTCCCCATGTGTTTGAATGCGGCACGATTTTCAGAATAAAGCTAAATATTATAAAAGTATGAAGTTTAGAAAAATTCTTAAGAGAAGCATGAATGTTCTTGAAGAGCTGAAGATTTTGATACCCGAATGGCTTTGCTAGCTAAATGTTATCCTGGGAGACTTGAACATTTTCATACCTGAAAGTATGAGGATGTAGAATTTCCCTATTCATTTGAAATAAAATAATTAAAAGATAAATAGGAAAGGGGAAAAACAGCTGATCAGAGTTGTGGAGAATGTAACAACACAAAGGGAAAAAAGTGTAGAGTATAATGAGCTCAATTTGAATATCAGAGCATCAGCACATTCTTTGATTGGACTGCTTTTTATAAATGTGCACTGAAAATGTGGAGGGGAAGTGTTCCTGTAGGAGGCATTCTCTGTGGAGTCCTCAAACACCAGTAAAACCACAACAGGCTTCTAGTGAGGACCACAAATCCCTGGAGGACATTTACTGTACATGCAGCTCTGAAGGTGTGTGTGTGGACTTGTACATGGGTTTTAACCATCACAATTATAAAGTTCATATTGTAAACTCCTCTTAATCGCTCTGAATATTTTATAATTTAGCATGGTTTTTATCTTGAATCACAAATCTCAGGTGCTGAAGTGATTAACAAGTGATAATGGATTATTTGCCTTTACAAGTCAAAGTTAAAATTATCCTCAAGTTATGAAGTTTATGTCTATGTGTGCTTGTTTTTTAGCAGCTAGGTGCATGTTGCCAATATCCCAGTACTATATTTCCTACTGCAGAGCTTTCTCAGATCCTGGATAGCTCTCAGGTTTAGATCTTGTGTAGGGGGTTACAGTATACTGAAATTATTAATATGTGAACATTTTGCTATTTGTCCTCACAAAGTAGGTAAAAGAAGTAGTGTTGTGTGTGTGTGTGTGTGTGTGTGTGTGTGTGTGTGTGTGTGTGTGGGTGTGTC